AATACAGCTGGTGGACACAAATACAATAATTCTTTACTAATGATCAAACATATTTAAACCAGCACAAACATATCAGTTAGGGATATACAATACTATCTGAAAGAATTCATTATTGCCGTCAAGCAGACATCGGCCATCTATAAAGGCTTTAGTGCAGGTGTATTTGCTTTAGCCTGGTTAATCTACAGGTTGAGGAGCGTTATTTAAATTAAATGGCAGCACTGAAGAAGCTCATTTCCAAAGCCTTGTGAGGCCTCGGTAACATCTTCTGGTCTCTTACGACTGAAGCCTAAATATATTTATTTATTTTTCATGTTTTTACTTAAAAATAATATTAAATTGTTGATAATTGTTGATAATTGTTTTTCACATGACTAACTGCTCACTGGCTCATTAGTTTAGCTCGTCTATCTATTATATAAAACGACACACGTGGCAAAACCTGTACCTTTAAAGCTCTCAGCACCACCAGCTGGATGGTCCCTCTGACGTTGCCCTCCTGTGACATGGAGCGCCGGAGCGTCTCCATGGCCATGTGATTGGGGCGTCCCAGTAGAGACTCTCCATTTACAGCCACCAGCTGGTCATTGACGTGCAGGCGTCCATCCTGTAAAGCACAGAGCGGTTTGCTGATGTGTGCGTTTTCTACAGTTTGCATTGCAGATATGTCTTTGCATGAACTCTGCCTACAAGCACGGACATACGTGACAGCTACATGTTGAATATCATTTATTTACGCTGTGTGGTCTGACATTCTCTTTTCAGCACTGGCAGGAAATCACTGAGCTATGATGGAGAGCTCACACAGACGCTCGCTCACACACACCTGTGGCCTTCACTGAGTGGGTCTGTGAGGTTAAACCAGCCAAAATGACTTAAACCCTGCACACACACATTCTCAAGGCTGTCTGACTTAACGCAGTCTCCACCTCATCGACCGAGACCTCCGTCAGCTCAGTCTGCCTGACTGCATCGGCAAGATATTTACAATTCCTCTGCAGCAGGCCCTTTCCATCTATTCCTGTCTGTTTGTGCACAAACACTAACAGCTGCGCCCAGTGCGAGGGTGTGTGTGCATGCGCCGGTCAAACAGAGAAGAAGAGGTCAAAGATTAGCGGAGCAGGATCACAACCAGGCCTCAGATGAGAGTCTTGTGTTCAAAGATGTCCACGTGGGATGAGACTCATTTTCTGTTCATTTACACTGTGATTGGAGCAAAAGAAAACATCGCACTGTACGGATAAAGTGATTTACATGAGTGTATGTATGTATGGGAATACTGTGTCACCTTGTAGGCAGCTCCTCCGTGTATGATGGATTTGATGAAGATTCCCAGATCCTCTCCTGTCTCCCTTGACTTGTTCCCTTTGAGGCTGACGCCGAGCCCCGCCGAGCCGGTGTCGTTGAGGGGCACCTCAAACATGAGCTGCTCCTTTCCATTCTCTGAGACCACGCTCGGCACGCGGGACACCTCGTCCCTCTGGAAGCGACAGAGAGTAATGGAGGCAGAAGAGGCGAGATGGGGATGATGAAGGGAAAGGGTTGGGAACGGGGTGAAGGCGGGAGGGAGAGGGTTAGCTCATTGAGCTTCAACAGTCTTCAAAAGCTAAACTAAAAGCTTTTCCACTTGAGAGAAACTACCAGGTGCTTTTGAACTTCAAATTTCTCTCCAAATATAAAAAAATTGTAGTCAGAGTATAAAAAGTTTAAAAGAAAGGAGCCTTTTGGACCGCCTGCTTTTATATACCCACTTTTTTTTGCTCTCAAGTCTGCAATATCAATAAAATGACCTGCGCATTTTCACAAGGTAATTGGAGAAGACGACAAACACAGAAAGCAGGAAGAGCAGAGTGAATATAATGAGGAAAGATGGTGAAAGGCTGAAATCAGAAGCAAAGACAGACCATATACATAAAAACTATCATAAAGCCAGGAAGCAAAAGGAAAAAAATATTATGAAGAGAGAGAGATGTGGCAGTAATGACTGAGTGTGAGTTAGTGGCACAAAGACTGTGAATAAAGACAGCGAGCAGATACTGACAGTCAAAATTATGACTGTGATGGCTCAGCGGGAGAGAGCGAGCTGAGCTTCGCAGCATCTGGATTATACTGTTTACATGATCCTAAGAGGAACAACAGGTAAACAGTAGTTTTTTATTTTTCCAGAGTTTCAACAAACTCACAAAAGTTGTGAAACCACAGCTGAGCTGATGTCAGGGATAGACGGTGACATTCATAATCAATTAAACCTGCAAAGCTACAGTTCATCTCACACCTGCACATATAACCGACAACACAACACAAACATGTCATGTTTACGCACGGAAGATCCACCATCATCCCCAGCATCATCATCGTCATCATCGATTGAGAGACAACAGGAGGATGATTGTTGTACGTAGGTCTAGGTTCAAGTTAAAAACAGCAGTTCAGCTGATATCTGATCACTTATTTTCACTAATCATGGTGGCTAAAGCAACCTGTCCTGTATGTCAACATGCAAACATTTCTTCATG